AGTCTATAAAATATTAAAATATTAAAATTGCCTTACATTTTCTATTTTTTATGCTTAAATAATTTAATTAATAAACATTTTTGGCATCGTTAATTTCCTCAGAAGGAATTAGAAATATCTTAATAGAAAAGAAATACATATAAAATATATATTTATATTTATTTATAAAAAAATGTTTGTCTCGAAAGCAGCTAACTTTGTTGCGCCCGTGAAAACGAAAGTATCATTTCTTATCTGTGTTCGATTTCTTGCGTTGCGCCATTCGTTACGTCACGGATTTTAGCACTCCACGACGGAGCGATTCAACGTCGTAATTAACTCCGGCTGAGAGAGGAGGCTGAGTTTCGCGAGCGTACACGTGCTCCGACTTACGCTCTCGGCTCGAGACGGAGCGGCGATGACGGAGAAAGTGAAAATAATTTCTTCATCGAAACCCGTCGCCCCTTTCGCCGTGGCCTGCCGGCATCAGATAGCGGGAACGCGGCTAGTTAAGACCGTCGCGGCTGTCCACCGTGAGCAAAGGACCTTCGTTGGCGCTCTTCATTAGCACGGCGGCAAGTTCAAGGCCGGCACGTTCCAAACCGAGACGGAGAAAGAGAGAAAAAAAGGACGGCGTCGTGCTCAGCCTTGAATGCTCTTTCATTTTAGTCACCATCATCATCGTCGTCATCATCATCATTATCGCCATCATCATCATTATCATCATCATCTCGAAAATCCCGTGGCTTCCACCCAAGTCTGTCTAGTCGTCACCCATTTACGCACGCCAATCACGGTGTGAGAACCGAGCTCGCGGTCTACCACGGAAGGGAAATCTCCTGACCCGCGAGTTCGCTTCTCTCCTAGAATCGTCGATCGTAAATCATGCGGACATGCGGACATTCCCCCGCTTTTCTCACTGACCGCCGATCAGGTGCAATCACGCTATCGCGCGGTTAGAATCTTTTCATCTCGCAGCATCTATAGATATACATACGTCGCCGACCTGGAAACGGGCCTCCGATCCGATCGATCCGATTATACATTATACTCTATTTTGAGCCGTTGCAAAATTGCGCGTTAATTTTTCTAAATATATAAATATTGTTGTAATTATATTGTTGTATTATTATTATAATAATATTAGACATAATAATATTATTATAATTAAAATGTTAATTAAATTAAATTAACTGTGAAAACGTTACGGAAAATGTAAAAAAATATCATATTTAATTTTTGTCACAGTGAAAAGAGTTATAATTACAAAACTTATATTTACCGCTACATTTTTTATCGAGATTATGTAAAATAATGAAACGTAAAATAATTAACAGATTATAAATAGAATATAAACAGAAACAGAAACAGAATATAAACAAAAATAGAAACAGAATATAAAGAGATTATGTAAAATAATAAAATAATCTCGAGATAACAAGATTTTAATCGAATAGAAAGCTATGAGTGAAATAGCGAAATTATGCATTCGAGCTTCGAGTCTTGTTACATTATCCGTCGCGACACATTACGTTTTTTGCATATGTAAATGAGGCAGGGCGAGTGCCGCGGAAGGAATTAATCAAAGTATTGTAACGGACGTAATCCGTGTAACTCAATAAGCCCGGCAGCGTTGATTGAGTAGTAACCCGGGGACATTTATTAGACCGGCGCTTTGCATAAACGCATTTTTCCGGGGGACGGACGGCGATGCTGCATCGAGGGTGCGCATCTTAACGATCCGCCTTGCTGCCCCATCATCATGCTACGCAATAACTCTCCTCTTAGTGGCGGCATGTCCAATGTGGAGCACCGTCCATCCGTCCGTCCACCCCTCATCAGCTAGATCCGCGGCACGTAGGCCGACTTTAAGGCTCAATTATTTATGTAGCCGAGAGTGAGTGCCGTTGATTCGCCCATGCGATGATTACGCCAATCATAATAGGTCTGTACCCCGGTGAGAAAGAGAGAGAGAGAAGGAGAGCGAGAGGGAGAATCGACATTGTGATTGGGCTTGCCACACTGGGATCAGGGCTAACTACCCACAGAAATCAAGCAAAATAGAAACAAGACCGATCCTCAATCACGTGTAATTGTACTCTGTCTGTTCTACTGCACACCAGTATATACCTCTCCTTGATACTTATATTTAGTGGCGCACAATTTTCTCTCGGTAACCCGCCTGCTGCGTGTCTGCTGCTCTCGGCCGGCAGTCCAGCCGCAGCAGCCCCCGGTAGCCTCTCTCCTCGTTATTTTCTTTATTTATAGTCATATTCGCTGAAACGCCGCGTATCATCTCAACGCCGCGCGCCGATACGCCGCACGGGGCCCCGCATAAAGTCCGAGGCCGAGATCTCTAACGTAAACACGCTTATCCGCCAAATCGATCGTAAAATATCCTGTTATTATCGGGGCATGCTACCGTCCGATCGTCGATGATCGCGAGTCTGCGCTCCATCGAGACTATAAACATTTATTCCCTCAATTATTTGTAACAATCTATAGAAACTTGGCCAAAGGACTAACGTCGACGGACCCTTTCTGCGCGCGCGTACTTTATTACACGTAAAAAGAATCGAGAAAGTGACTTTTCCTCACGTTTCTCTATAATGTTCAAAAGACATTCACAGGACATCCTGAAGATACCCAGAAGACATCGTTGGACTCCAATCCATCGATGCTCAAGGGCTAAAAAATGTCTTCTGAATACCTTCCGGATGTCTTTTGGGTATGCATGCTATGTAGGATGAATATGATCGCACACTTATATATTCGTTTTCGGCACATTTAGAGAATCGAACACAGAATACATATATATTTTTTAAATGACAGTTTTGTTGCTCTCTTATATTTAATGAGAACAATTATTTCTCGTTTTTCTCTTTGATTATACATAGTATCAAGCAATTTTGAACAGGTCAAATACACTACCGTCAAAAAGTTTAAAACCAAAGAAATTTATAAATTTCAATTTTATTTATATTTTCTTCCCAAAAAATAATGCAAACTATTTTTACTTTTGCAGTGTTAACATAATCCTTTAGCTATTAATTAAAAAAAAACAATCAGCATTTGTTTATAATTTGAATTATAATTTGCATTTTTATTTTGTATTTTTTCCGTGATCTTTATTTATTACTTTGGTCTGAAACTTTTTGACGGTAGTGAAGATGTCGAATATAACTTTGAGATTACATTTTACTACGTGGCTATCTTTGTTATTGAGCGCAAAGTGACGCATCGACCGAAAAGATTGCACTCAATTTCAATAACCAGACAGCCGCATTTAGCGCAAAACGTGTGATGAACACATCGAGGCCGAGGTCCATATCTCTGTTCGGTCTCTTAGCACCGTATCGAGCGCGAAAGCGTCATCGAGGACAGCTTCACCCTCGTCTAAACGGCCTCGCGCGATCGCCGGTTCACACCAAGTATAGCATTGTCCGTGGACCAAGTCGACCGTGGCAGGACGAAGCGAAGCGGCGAGCGTCGGCGATAGTCAGCGCTGTTGCTGCAGGTTTTTGGTGGGGGACCTTGACCGAGTGACGTTCACCAGCGGCAGCCTGCAATCGCGCAGGTAGGGAGAGACAGGTAGGTAGGTAGGGAAGAGTGATCTCCGAGAAGAGAGAGAGAAAGAGAGAAAGCGTTGGCTAGACCTGGTCGCTGGTGACGACACTGATATGTTTGCACGAGACATCGAACGCTTGACATCGTGTATCTTTCATCATCAGTCAACATCAATCGACATCAATTTTTTGAGCAAAATATTAATGAAGCGGAGATATCGCGAAACGATCGAGTCATCGAAGCGTTTTGAACGCGGTATCGAGTAGAATCTTACGATACACAACTGACAGATAGAGAGAAAGACGGGAAGCTTGCAGAAACAATGGTCAGCTCGAGTGACTAGCGCCAGCTGGACTTTGCCGATAGTGATGACACTGATATACTTTTTCATTATCGATCAATATAAGTCAAGACATCAAATTTTTGACAGAAATATTAATCAAACGGACATATCGTAGAATCATTGAATTTTTTTTAGGTGTATCGAGTGAAATTTATTGATACTTAATGATTAAGTATCAATATGTCAAAATACAGATATTTATGGACACATGCATTGTTCAAGTACACCGATAGAATATTGAAATTTCGAAAAATGCGCAATAAAATTTTTAGAATAAGCTTTAATCTCCTTCGATATATTTGCAGTTGGTTTCTTGAAGATCACTGAGAAAAGCGTATAAAGCAAATGTCAAAGTGCATTTATACGGATTTACTTTCTGTGTATTTTCTTTTTTATTCAGAATAAAGATATAGAATAATATTAACTTTCAATGTGAATACAAAACAATCGTTATAAAACAATCATTTATTATAATTTGTAATTATTTAGTAGCAATTTTATTTTAGCTACGTTTCTTGAAAATTTCTCATTTAGACAAACTTAATATTGATAAAAGATTCTCAATTTTAACAATGTATCTTTATTCCATTCATAATTTCTTTCATTTTCATTTAAGTTCTCTTCAAGGTTAGGAGAAATCTTGTTGAAAAAATGTTTAGAAAATTGGATAAACTTTAATAAATTAAAAGATTATATTACTTTTAATTAAAATGTTGTAATTAAAACTCTGCAATTCGAATAAAAATCTAAACCGGTAGTTCCTTTTAATATTGAAATTATGTGAGAATGTTAACTTAAACGATACATCGAACAATCACACAACATAACAAAATATATTTTCATTTAGAAAACCGATTAAATCGTCTAATATTTACCCTAATAATCGATGAAATTAATCTAAAAATTCGTCCTAGGCCACTATTTATCTACCACTAGTCGCGCTTCCCGGTGTGCGTACTCCTTGAAATCACTCTGTGTACGTCCGTGCTGTGTCCGTCCGTACCTACTCTCCTGCCTGTCTCTGTCGGTGCTTGGGCCCAGTGGGATAGGACGGTGTGCCGCGGTGGAAGGAGTAGTAAGCGGCCTACGCAGTTTCAAGCTGGGTCCCAGCTTTTATTAGTTCTTCGGCGCTCGGCGGAGAACGAACGGAAAACGAACGACGTGCGTGGTGCGGCGGCGGTCTGTGCACCTCTGGCTCGGACCCCTCATCATCCCCGAGTCGACCTCTGCAGCTCTGAGACACGCAGTGTCTCTTACGAATCCTCGGAGACGAGCCGCGCGAGGAGATACGAATAACAACCGTGTTATCGGCGACGAGCGAGTTCATCGCGAGGGATCGCGTAATATTGAGTGACTCCGAATACATGTCAGTGCGAGACAATTTAAAGGACCGAATTGCCGGTATTCGATCCTGGGTGTTAGACAACGTCTACAACGTCGACGAGTGTGTCGAAAATTGAAAGCAAAACGAGAGACAACAACGCGGTCGTTGATCGATGATAATTGGTGAATTAATCCCTCGAATCGATCTCGCGCGATCTACTCGCGGCCCGGTGATAATAGTGACAGTTGCCGAACGTGAGAGTGTTGAATTCGAATATCGCCACGAAGTCTCTCTCTAAAAAAACGAGAAAGAGAGATAGAATCCTCCTTCTTCTTCTCCCTCTTCTGATCCCGCTCGGGGAACCGATCGTACCTGAAGGGGTGTAACCTTAGGAGAATATCGGATATCTAAACGATCGGAATGCTACTGTGTCACTGAAGGTAAATCTAATATCGTTAGGAGCAAAATTTAACATCGCCTCGTATCGACAATGACAATGACGACGATGACGACTTGCTGCGACAAATCGATCGGCAGGATCGAATCGGGAGATGCGCTCGGTTTGATTCCTCGTCGGATCGCCGCGAATGTTAATCGAAAGGGAAACGGTGGTGAAGCGTGTCTTCGGCAGGTCGGGTAGGTAGGAGAGGTTCTGCTGCGTGCGTTCGCGAAGCCGAATAGATTATAGAGGGTCCCCCGAGAGCGAGAGCGAGAGTGCGCGAGTTATTTCGCGCGCAGATTGGATCTGCCGGCCGCTCTGCTCGACTCGGCGCTGGGCAGCCCAGCGGAAGGGTAATATCCCATTAACTGAAAGATCAATTAACTCGCGTTAACGGACACTTTAATCACCGATGTGCAGCTAGAGGCCTCTCTCGCGGTGCGCGCGCGAGCGCGAATCTAAGCGTTTAATCTGCCCGACTCCGAGATCGAGTCGACCGATCATACGCGCGAGCTCCCCGAGCTCCTACGAGGAGCGATCGCGATATAACACGCGGGGAGATCTTCTCTCTCGGAGAGGCGGTGGGACGAACAGGATATCGAGGAAAGGAATACGTATTATTCATTGACGCGGCATTAATATATCCGTGCGGATTGAGAATAAACATTTATGGAAATGTTGCCGAGCTTGTGTCTGTCCTCGAGGATCACTCGATCAGGATCTCCGAATTAATACGTCGAGAGATTTATGATTGCGACAAGTCGAGTTAACGCGTCTCTAAATCGTCGGCTCTCTTTCTCTCTCTCTCTCTGTCGCGCGTGTCAGATGACTTTTTTAATATGGATTTATAATATGACACGTGGACAAAATTTATATACCATCGCATTAGTCGATTAAAAATTCCTCGACAGTTTATTTCTTTAAAAAATGTGATACAAAAATCCCAATTATACGAAACAATTTTGCTCGTATAATAAAAATTATAAAATGTGATTAATTATGTACAATAAATTGTTTATTTTATTTTATTTTATTGTTAAAAGTACTTTAAACAGTTTAATGAATGAATATTTAGAAGACCTTTTTCTCTTCTTTTAGCCTCTGCTAAAATAATTTTATTTGAAAACATGTTTTAATCTTATTTGTAAAAAATTATATATATATATATTACGTGGGCACGACACATCCTATCAAGTATCGTTCACCGTAAATAGACTGGATGCGCAAAGGTCGATTGCTCCTTTTCTCCTGTTTTTCTCTCGCCCTCTCGCCTGTCCGCACTCACGAGATGAAGATTGCGCCCATCAGCCCGAGGTGCAAATCCCCTCGCTGAATCTCCGATACGGTTTTATCGCACGTTTCAGCGTACGGCGGGCGGGCGTGCGTCGCGTGTAACCACCGTGATAGAGACGTAAGGGTTTAAAGAAGACGAATACACGAGACGGTGCAACGATAAGCACCGGGAGGAACTTTCGGCCTTGACGTGTACAAAGTGTGTCAGTGTTACTCGCGCGCGAGCGAACGAGCAAGAGAGAAAGAGAAGGAGAAAGAGAGGAACGCTTTCGATGGGAATCACCGTTGCTGGTTCCATTCACCATAATGCATAACGCGTAACGTGACCCTTCGCGTCCAGATTTCTCCCGCTGTCCAGGACGGCCGCCTCGCATAATCGGGACGTGTGCAAATAAAGTAATCGCGCCTGATTCTTTTTCTCACGAGTCACGAGTACGACTTATATGTACGTATGATTTCCATTTCCATTTCTGGTATCCGCGTCATGCTAGCGCCGTACGTGTTCTATTAGTTTTGAGTCATATTTCCGCGGTTAAACCGACGATGACGGTTCGTTGAGAGGATATTTATTATCGCTTGTTAGAGATCGAATACACAAATCAATTACATTAATTTCATTATTACAGACATCATTTAGAAGGATTCACGTGTTGTAAGAAAAAACTGTGAAGTTATTTAACATCACGGATAATTATAAGTCTTGGTGAATCGAAAAAATTACAGTCAGTTAAAGTCACTACTAGTTCTTGTACCGAATCACGATCGGACAATCATGTTTACGACGATGTCCGATTTCTCGTGTTGAAACTTTATACAGGTAATTCTTTCTGTGTGATGTGGCAGTAATTTATGATAATTTCGCCCATCTCTTCAAACAACCGAAACACCAAATGAGATTGTGAATTCGTTAACTTGTAGACATTTTTAATGCCATAATGAAGTGCTGCAAATGCTGGAAGCTTGTTTTATGGTAATCGATGATGTTTCAACATAAAGGAACCGAGTATATTTCATAAATATAAATTCATTTTTGAAAATTTTATATTCACGATGTCGATAACCAGGTAACGATTTTTTTAACGAAGACCTCCTTATATCCGTGCGAGTGAAAGCGTGAAAAAATATGGAGCAACAGAAAGCCACGATGAATTTCATGATCGCGGGATGAACGACCCCAGGTAAAGAAGCCGAGATACGATTTACAGGCAAATTGTGTCGAGTGTAAGCGCGGGGATTCGTCCTGAGCGGAGTAGGCTCGATAGGTCGTTAGAGATAAAGTTCGTAGGCGAATCTATGTAGAGTGGGAAGAGCAGGAATTTTATAAGTGGTGCCCCATTCCGGAGAAATACGCGCGAAGGATCCTCCCGGCTTTTGCACGAGCGCGGCGCGATATCCTCTCCTGCCGCGCGCGATCTAAATTAAAATCTTTCCTCGGCCTCTCGTCGATTCTCCGACTGCTCGGCGTAACGGGTGACGGCTAAAAACGAAAGGTATGGGTTTGCGTGAGCGTCGAGAAAAATAAACAGGCGGAATCGCACGCGGAAACGCTGACGCTCGTGTAACGAGCTCGAGAAGCTCGAGAAGTATTTTTCTTTCAGTCACGGTATACGACGTTTGCGTAAATTTATCGGTCTGGCAATATTAACTGTAAAGTGCACCCTTCCATGGTAAAGAAAGAAAAAAACAAATCTCAGCATCTTATTTTCATGGACAAAGTTTGAGAAACAAGGAACCCATAAGAAGAAGAAAATAATTTTAATTTATATAAATTTACAGAAAGTCTTACAAGAAATTTTTATTATAAAATAGAATGTGTGTTATTATAATAATAAAATGTTATATCAATTGATTTAAAAAATTTATTAAGAATTAATTGTCGTCGATTAAAGTTTCTAATCCAGAGGGCTCAAAATTGAGAAAATAATAATAATTAAAGATACTATTTAAATACGAGAGATTGCATATAGAAAATAATTTCTTTTATTGAGTGAGGCATAAAATTATGAAAAGTGAAATCAGATTTTTGATTATGTATAGAGAAATTGATGTATAAATTTTTCTCTAAAACCCATGCGCGGACAAAAGTATAGTGTACAAGATGTAATCTAGAAATCTCCTGGATTTCAAGGCTGTTATTAAGCTACTGAAACTACATAGAGAGAATCTTCCAGAACACCGTGTATAAACCGGCTATGATTCTCGCTCCATTTGGATCCACTCGTGCTCTATAATCCAGCAGCAGCTTTCTAATAGCGGTTTGATCGCGATTGCAGACGCGAGCCTTCGCACCTTCGAGAGCCGGACGGATGCCCTTCGCGTCCGGGCGTTTCGCACTGATTTTATTATCAGCCACCTTCAATAAAAGTCAATGAAGAAGGTGCTAAACGTTTCGCGCGCGCGAAAAACGGGAGTGTTTATTACATCTTGGTGTTTGGATCCCTAGCTCGCGTAGGACTCCTAGAAAATAGCGTGGTATAATCGGCGTGAGTCTCGGTTGTTGCTTTTATTGCCGGCGCGCGTTTTTGATTTTCGCACTATTATCCCGTAACGAATGTGAAATATCTAAAGGAGAGGCGGGCAGCGGACCGTTAGAGGATTCGGGACGACGATGCCGATGACTTTGTACGCTTTTATAACACGTTCTGTCCTTCTATTCTTATTTTTCTACACTCTCGTGGGGATTCTAATTCTAACACGTAGGAGAACGAATTTTGACCGTGCTTTTGTCACGATCTCGCCGCTAATGACCAACGTCGGAAATGTCCGCGATATGATATCATCGCGAAATTCAAAACATGAACATTGTCGCGCTCTCTGACAGAGAAGGCTACGTTTTTATTATTCCCGCTCGGGCTGTTATGCAACACGAGGAAGCGACAAATAACATGTATTAAAGAATCCTACCGTGTATGTGTAACAGTATGCCCGAGGAAAGCAGATTTCTCATCGTCAATATTTGCTTGATAATAGTAGAGATGTACAATAAATAAAACCATTAGGTTTAATTTTACACACATTTAGAGAAATTAATAAAGATACTGCACGAAGTGCGATACTGCTAAAGTATAATTAATGTATATTATCTCTTATATAAATTGTACTGCGAAATTTGCAGACTGAGGAATACGATGTTGTACATTTTGTAATTTTGATTTTTATATATCTATATATTACTTACATTTTTATTTATACAAAAAGATTTTATTTACAAAAAATGAAAATTTACAGAAGAAAATTTATAAGAAATTAAAATTATCGTGCACTTTTATCGAAAGTAATTTTCCTTGTCAATTGATTCGATCAAAAAATGTATATAAAGAAATATATAAAATTTATATAAAGAGAAATATAACATAATATTATTCTTATACAATAGTAATAGTTTATATAGAAAAATAATATAAAATAATCTTATCATTTTTCGATTATGCTTTAACTGCGAAAAATATGATAATGTTCTCGCACGACTCTTCTTTGCTCTCCGTTAGCTATCTTAATTCCCGACTACTCTCGTAAGGAAGAAAAAATATTCGACGGGGAATGCGCGCAAGGTGGAATTAAAATCGTGAGAATATAGCGCCGTGTTTCGCTGCACTTAGCGATGTTTTTTATCCTTCCCCTTACTGTTATCCAGCCCCATGGAGAGTAAGGACGCATTATGGGATCCCCTCGTACATTAGACGCGGTCCTGGAGACCTGCGCTCCTTTTTCTCTTTCTGCATCCTGGATCGAATCGAACGTTTATTTGCGCGTTTAGGCGACTAGAAGACCCGTGGGAGTCGACACGCGAAAAAGGCCCCAAAGGTTGTAAACACTTTCGTCCCGAAAAAAAATATATTAACGTCAATTTTTATAGCGTTGATTCTCACTGAAGGTGAGCACGACGGGAGATTCTGCGATCTTGTTCGCCAAATATGGCCACCGAGCCTACCGCGAGTATCTTAATCCTCCGATCGGTCTCATTTGGAGCTAGCGTTTCCTCCCTCGCGCTAATAAAGCCGTTGAATGACGCGCAACCCCGTACACACGTCACTCGAGTGCGAGAACTCGCCAAGATGTATCACTCGGGTCAATTGATAGCCTTGAGAGATAAATGCGCGCACGCACAGGGTCACCTTTATTTCTTACAAGGGCAGATGCCGATCAGTAGACAAAAGCGCACTATGAATGTTAATTTCTGTTTCGGCGACTCATCTGAGAATCTTTTTGTGGTCAACAGTTCGTATGGCCTATTTAATAATTGAAGATATTCTCTAAAATAATGTAGTTTAATCTTTTATTATTGCAAATAATTTACTTGATTTTATTATGGTTTTTATATTTAAAATAAAACTAATTTCTTGAATTATACTATTTTGGGGAAATAAAAGATTTCAGGTGAAATTGTTGAAAAAATACAGTGGACTTAAAATTGTAAAATAAATGATAAATTTTTGGAGCACAAGATTTTTTCGCGATTTAAGTAAATTTTATTAAATTTCATGACATTGAAATCTCCATATTCAATAAAACACAACGTGACAAAGGCCAACTTGTTGAAAAAACAAAGTTGTTTTTACACGATAGCGCGAAAAACATCAGTGAAATAAAGCGCTTATGACGATAATGATCAGTCCCCTGACGCTTCCGCCTGTGTCGTCCGAGTGACTGTCGTCAGCGGTATTTTTAGAATCGTTTTTATATCGAGATGACCATGTCCTTTTGCTTTTATGCGTCGTAGTCTGGGATTGATTGCTTTATCAATTTACGTAAACTCACGAAAACGAATAACCTAACGTTTCGCGTGCGGTTAATGGAGCGATGATTTGGTATGTTTGATATTCTCTTGTTTTTCATTTCCAAGAAAAAGATTCTATTCCATATAGATGATATGCATAATTTCACACATTTCGTTTCTACTTCTCAGAACGTTATAAAATAACATACAAACAACCGCATGACGAGATGAATTATTCTTAAGAAAATAATTTCTAAAAATTAAGAGAATTGCTGGACTGAAAATTAGCAAAATATTATTGACAGCTAAATAATGTTTTTCATATAAAATAATATTTAAATGCGACGCAATACGACAAAATCGAAATGAGACAGTATAATTTATTCGCGTCGTTCGAGTCGGTGACGCGACGCTTTATTACTTCTGCTTCTATGAAATTTAAATTAAATGTCATTACATTTGCAGTATCGAAAAGAAAATCGCAATTCTGTTCAGACTATGACTAATTATGTAGCATAATTACGACAATACTTGATATAGACGGTATAGGAAAAACAAGTAAAAAAGACGAGGGAGAGGGAAGGAGGCCTTATCGCATAATCGTTCCTATTAGCAATGTTTTCATCAGCAAATCCATTGCCCGTATTGTGCACTGTCACCGTCATCCCTGTCACTGTCATTATATCGTTGCACGTATCTCGAGTATCTCATCTGCTTGCATGACGACAAAGAGAACTATTATCACTCGTTGCACGTTTATCATCGTCTACCTATAGTTGGCATGCGCCAGTATAGACACGTCGCAGAGAACATCACGATGCTATCACTTGTCTCTCTCTCTCATAATTCCACATGCGCACGTAGGAATAGCGTATATAGCAAGCGCAAACATATTCTCCTACATAAACTGCACTCTCATGACAACTGAGGAACAATTGTTCGGTCGGTTGAAAGTAGAATAAGTCTAAGAGAGCTCTCGTTACAATTGATACAGCCCGTCAGTTTATGCAATTATATTGTTTAACATTTGTTGTACGCTCAGTCGATATTCTGATACTCTAAAACATCCTGTTATTTGCATCCTTTTCAAACAGATGCTTTCGATCGAATAAACGGACAGTTTCATGAAGTAACGGTCGACAGGAGAATTAAACGCGCAAATCTTCGTCGATGAATTTATCCGTAGAATTAAGAGCGCAGCTTTTTTGCTTGGCTTACAGGTCGGTGATCGGGTCTACGGATGCGAAGGGAGATAAGAGCGAAAGAAAATTTCGGGGGTGAGGGGTTCTGGAGTGGGGTAGTAAAAGTGTAAACACCGGGAGCGTGTGACGGGGGGCAAACAAAGCGGGAAACGTGTCCTTAGCCGGTCGCGTGGCATGCTCGGGAAAAAAGGCGAAAAGGCAAGATGCTTACGATACAGCGTTCGGGATCATTGAGAAGGGCGGAAGGCTGCAATCTTCCCGGCACGCATTTGCTACCCCCCGTTGGGACCGGGGCTTCCGTCTCCGGGTGGAAGCCCGCCGAGAGGAGCGTCTCCTTCAATCGAGACGTCCACGTGAAGAGGATCGGTGAGTCCAGGCAATATCACACACCACATAAACTACCGATATCCTGCATATGTAGAGCGAGAGAGATCGAGAGAAATGGTGCTGCTTGATTTTTCGGGCCCGACGCGTACATCGGCTATAAAATAATAAATTCATATTTTTCTCGCGTATTTATATATTAATTAAATTTTGTAGATGTTTTTAAATCTCAGATAAATAAATGGATAAATAACGCGAAAAAATGTCAATCATTTTGTGCATAAGAAGTTTTATTTTTTTATTCAATTTTACGCGAGAAATGTAAAAGCCTATATTCAAGTCTAGATTTTAAATATATAGGCGATAAGCTATAGTTAAATTTACTTGTCGGCCTTTCGTGAAGGCCAGCCCTTCGGATTTCTTCTAACAGTATCCGCGCGCGTGAGGGCAGGATACCGTTTTGTCGAATTAAAATCTGATAAATTGCAAAGACGACGTGTTTGTAAGGACAATCTTCCGGAACGATTCATGCATACGCGGTCAGAATTTAATGCATTATAAAAGTGCACACGTGATGCCAGTTCAGAGAGAAAGAATGGGAGAGGAGATTGCGATTTTATTTTGCGATTTCGTGATGTCTTGAATTTCAAAAAAAAAATTACGGCCCAGCCGCAGAGGGCGATCCCAGATTATGGAAATTATTCGCGACGCGACTCTCGTTCTCACAGCAAACTCGTCTCTCGGAGATGCAACTCGTTGTTTCTGAGAAACACGGAAAATTATAAGGCGCGATCGTGCGAAATTCTACCGAAATAAAAATCCTTCATTTTTTTAAATTTCATCAAGATGAAAGTACGTGACATAGAGATGCGAGATTTCGAAATTTTTAACATATTTAATTAAAATGTTCGTGCTTTGTGAATTCATTTCCGTTGATTTTTTTCTCATTCGAATTTATTTCGGATTTCGAGTGGTATTTTGATAGGAATTCTAGATATTTTCTAGATACATTTATTTCAATTTATTAACATCAATTTTAATTAAAATTTTATAAATGTACTACAATCACTTATGAAAATAGTAGTCGAAAAAGTTCGTAATTTATCTTAATAAAAATCTTTTGCTACAAACTTAGTTTCTATGGATTCTTATTTGCAACATTTACAATTAACTCTGTGATAAATACGAATCATGCAGATTGTACGCAAAGATTGATAACAGCTACAAAAAATCAAACAATAATTCCTTATTAGTAACGTATGTTTAATAAACGTTATGTCTTTTATGCCAGCGTGATTTATATACAAATATGAGGAAAGATTCTCGGATTTCTCGAGTAGGAGTAAATCGCGCGACCGGCCAAGACCGAGATGTCAAGCAGTGCCATAGCGCTAAGAGCTATGTAATTCGCCTAACTTGTGTCTAACTTCCGCAATATCCCTCGATATCAATGTGTAACATACTTAATCAGAGCCTGCCGCGGACTAACGGCACGAAAATAATCATTACGCTATGCGATCGGCTAGTTTTCTCTTGCGTATTACCTAATATCGATTTTATTTAATCGTAGCTAATATCGATCGCGTAACAATAATTTTAACGACGACACTCTCTTCTTCCCAGAGAAAATGGTAAAAGACTCGATGACCTTGACATCGAGGTCGAGGTCGAGGTCGATGAGATCGTCGCTATCTTGAATCCGAGGAGAGACGATTTCATTGAAGGACGCGCGCCTCCTCTGTCTCTCGCAGTTCTCTTAATGCAATATGTAGGATTGTAATGGTATTGGTGTGTGCCTAGGACTCAACCATTCTTTCTATATCATTAGCTAATTATTAATCGTATTAATAATTCCCCTCTTACGCGTCGCGAAGTAAGCGTTGATTCATATTACTCCCGCTAAACTCCCAAACTTTTTGTCGAATTTTTAACACATGTTAAAGGATATGATACAAAATGCATTGTAATTTGCTGGAATCACTAATAAGACTGTATGTTAGCATAGATTAATTTTGTTAATGACTTAAAATCATTAATTAAAACTTTCGAAAATTCTATATTTAATATATATCGAATTAATATAAATCGAATGAAAAATTAAATGAACATAAAATTAAATAACATAAAATTCATCAAAAATAAATTACGTTTCGGTCTACTTTTGCGATACGTTCTACATAAATTGGCTCTAAAATTAAAATCTAAAAAGAAGACTTAAAAATAATTTAGTAAAAATTGATCGCAAATGATCTATTATAAGCCTCCAGAGTCCACACGATCATTATATTAACGCTCACGTAGATACACTAAAAGCAATGTATACGAAGATGTTTATACGCAGTTTCAGGGAAGCAACTTAATATGCCACACACTACGAGCCGTGGCCAAGTACGGGATAAGCACAGTAGATAAAGCTAAACGCAACGAACCGTCGCAAGTTACGAGCGTTTCCGCTTTCTGTGTATCGCCAACACGCGGCGATCGAAATTCATTTACATTCTCAACATCTCTTACTTGTTTTGACAGTTCGAATTATACCGGCGCAAGGGTAAAATTAATGGCTACCAAATCGAGGCAATTATCTTAGGATTCGACGGGAGTTTTATTTCAATTTATAGGTGGCATTATATTTTATAGTTGGCATCTCCGTTGGGCGGGGCTGTACGTAATTACATGCGCTGTATATTAATTTCGAAATGTCATGGAACACGTGCGTAATATTTTCGAAATATACCTTCATACGCGCGCACACATTGACAGTTTCTTAAAATATTAAATTTAATCATATACATTATTTTATTTCATATTATTATTTATTTAAATATTTATAGCTTCACTCGCGAAAGAGAGAGTCTGCATACATATATTTCATAAGTGATTTGTAATTCAAAAGTTATTATTTTGCAAAATATATATGCAATGAGATATTTTCAATAGAAAAAAATTGAATTGATTTCAAGCTCGTAATTTAATTATACATTGAACTGCATTATTATTATTATTCTATTAATTAGACCTTTAATGATATTGATTAGCATTGCAAACTGTTTCTAGAAATATTGAGAATATTCTTTCTCAATGATCTCTTTCTTCTTTTAGAATCGAAAGAAATATCTCGATCAGCAAGGTCGAGTGTCAATCGCACGATCGGATACGCTCGAAGAATTCTCACCAGTTCCATTCGCTTGTTATGATAACGCGGACGATAAAAATATGCAAAAGATGCTTCGTTCAATACGATTTAATGCGATCGACTCGAATCGGGAATCGAGACGTAATTAAATTTGAATATTCATCATCGTGCTCGCTTAATTCTTGATGTCGTCTCTGATCAAAGGTTATCTTTATTCTCAAAAGATATTCTAAATATTTCCGATTGATCGAATCTCAATCGAAATTATTTTCCATTTCCTATTATCTATTTTAAAGATTATTCTAGCACTGTATAGTGTACTTCCATATAATAATTAATTAATAATTAAAAAAGTAAAATAAAATGAAACATAAATATAATAAATTCGTTGTGATGTTATAATAATTCTTTATCGATCGGAAGATGATCTACGATCTACATCGTCCAGAAAGTGATATATTCTAAAATTAAGGGAAGATTTTGCACCGCGATAAAAAGTCGAATCGGCGTGATCGTACCGCATTTCTTCTTATACCAGTGTGAAGAATATGTTTCTTATTATCCTCCCTTTTTCTCGTTTTCTTTATTTTTTCGTCTTTCTCTCCGTTTCCCTTCTCGTCAATGCGGGCGGTCTCGGGAAGTCAACCTAGTTGGGCGCAGCATTGCGTTCGCGCATGTGCCCCTCGTCCAAGCTTGTTAAGGGCCCCTTGTATCGTTCGCATTATCCCGCCTGTTGGCGTTTCCTGGATCGTCGCGTGCTCCGCGATCGCAGAGTCCGACCTTAACCCGCCCGCTGCATCGGTGTACGCAGGTGTATGTATGTGTGTAACGAGGTAACGTGTGTAATACGTTTCGCGTTACGATCTTTGTTAGATCGCTAATGGATGCTGCACGGAAATCGCCCCGAGATATAATGCGGCTTGTGGAAAAAGTAGCTCTATCACTGCACAGGAAGTTACTACGGTCGAGTCTCCTTCTGTTCTAAACGATTATTTCTAGAGCGTGATCGTGCATCTCGTTTAATTTCGAGTCATTAAATCTGGCATTAGTTCTCTGAATTTCTTCTCTGTATTATCTTTCCTTGCACGTAGATGGTTGGAAAACAACGACGCGTAGCGACTTTGATGATAATGCGGCAAATCTACGTAGCGATCAGATTGCACGAGATGCAGGCAGCAATGTAAAAGTAGATACTCGAAGCACTCGCGAATGGACCGGTATCATGAGTCAACAGTATAGAGATCACATATTAGATACCTCGCATGTAAACCGCTATCATTAATGCTGTATGATCGCGTTAATCATCTTTTTTTTGTGGAGAAATGCCAATACGATTGCGAATTAATAGTCCTAGGCGTAAAAAGTGACATTAAGAAAAACACGGCATATTAATCTTCACTTCTCGTGAGATAATTTGTTTCAATTCTTTACGACACATCTATCATAGTTATTAAAGTTCTCTTGTCTTATCAAATATATATTTTTAAATTTGATATGTATATTTTGAAATTTATATGTATATTTTGAAATTTATATGTATATTTTGAAATTTCGAAATTTATTATAATTATTATAAAATTTCACCAAATCATATTTAATTCATATTTGAATTAATATGTCGAGCTTAATTTGTGCTCCTTGTAAATTCTATATTATAATAAATTTTTTAAATATTATAATAAATTTCAAAATTTCAAAATATATATTTTTAAATTTGATATATATATATTTGATATATATATTTTTTTTTGAAATTTATTATAATTATTATGAAATTTCAAATCATATTTAATTCATATTTAAATTAATATGATCTTAATATGTGCTCTTTATAAATTCTATCGTTTCATATTTTTGTCGTTCATTTCATCGTTACATTTCATTTGCATTGCTGTTACATTCGAATTCT